CTTTCTGGGGCCACATCCTAATCCTCTGAACTGCTCACTGAGAACATTTTGTTCCCCTTTTGAGAAAGATGCAAACCATCTTTTTTCCTGACATTATTCATGGCAGCATTTACTCATGGGTTAGCTCCTCCCCTTACAGCAGAAAGGACAGGAAATAGAACTCTGAAACTGGTATAAATAGATCCTCCCCTTCCCATCAGGCAGTCTTTTTTCCTGTCCTTCACAGCAGTTTGGAAGGAGTCTGCTTAAGCAGGCCTAGATTTTCTTTTATGCTCACCAGGCAATATTTTTGTAGCCATGCCGGGGTTCAGCCTCTAAGCCCTGAAGACCCAGCAACGCACTATTGTTAATACTGTTAATACTGTCGGACCCAATCTCTCCCTTAAGGGATGAAAATGGTCCACTGCATGCCAGGGTTCAGCCTCTTATCCCTGAAGACCCAGCAACAGGCCAGCTTGGGTACCCCCTCAGGGGATGAATGCGATATGCTGCCTACATGAAGCCAGGCCTGGGTTCAGCCTCTTATCCCTGAAGACCCAGCAACAGCCCAGCTTGGGTACCCATTCAGGGGATGAATGTGATATATTGCCTACATAATACCAGGCCAGGGTTCAGCCTCTTATCCCTGAAGACCCAGCAAACAGCACATCTGTAACAGTTGCCAGCCTGGGTACCTCCTTCAGCAATCAGGAGTCTGACCTATCTCTCTCCCTGAGGGGATGACAGCGGTCCACTGCATACATGAGGCCCAGCCGAGTCTAAGCCTTTATTCTTGAAGACCCAGTAAACAGCACTTCCATAAGGTGACTACCTGGGTATACCTATTCTTGGTGTTCCACCTTGTATGGGGTTGGTTAAACCTCCTCCCACTGGTGATGATGGACTGCATATGGGGTACAGATGGAAGCCTATAGTTTAAACAGTTTAGGCTGTCAGTTGTTCAAAGCCCCATTTTGCTGTTGAAACACGGGCCTGCAGCTGTTCAGGTAAGTGCATTTGTAATTAGATTAAAACTAGTATAGGCACCTGGGTCTCTGTTCTTTCAGTCCCTCCCAGCGGCTTACATTAGGCTTCCTTCTAACAAATAGGTCACATTTAGGAGGTTTGTGTGGTGAGCATTTAGGTAAGTTATACATGAAAGGATGCTTGGTACAAAAGAGTGCTGATAATGCAAGGAGGCATTGTGCAAAAGAGTGCTTATGATGCAATAAGACATTGTGAAAAAGAGTGCTAATAATGGATATCCTGGCTGTATAAAGTCTGCTGGAATTTCACAGTCCTGAAGAAATATCCAAGGTAAGAGAACTTCCCTGGGTGACTGAAGTACTCACATGTATATGATTTTAAAGTCCACACACACACTTGTTCCTATCAAGATATGTGGTGGCATTGATTGCTGTTATCTGTGCATTATCACAAATAAGCAGGCTTTTCCAGAGAGTGGAGGAATATACTGCATATGAGACCACGGGGCCTCAGTATCCATACATGATCTGGTGGTGGTACAGCATCGGTGTGTTTTCACTTTATGCTCTAACATATGAACAGAGTGTGTCCAGTAAATGCTCTAGGTATGAGTTACTATAAGGACACGGCCTCAGTATATGTATCCACTATATGCTCTATGTAGGAGTTACTAGGAGGATACGGCCTCAGTATATGTATCCGCTATGTGGTCTGTATAAGAGTTACTGTGAGTACACCACCTCAGTATAAGTATCCTATATATGAGATATATATATATGAGTTTCTATTGAGACACAGCCTCAGTATATGTGTCCACTATATGCTCTATGTGTGAGTTTCTATGGAGACAGCCTCAGTATATGTATCCATTATAGGCTCTATATGTATGAGTTACAATGAGGACGCTGCCTCAGTTTATGTATGCACTATATGCTCTATGTATGAGTTACTGTGAGGACACAGCCTCAGTATAGGTATCCACTATATGATAAATGTATGAGTTGCTATGGAGACACAGCCTCCGTTTATGTATGCACTATATGCTCTGTATGAATTACTATGAGGACATGGCCTCAGTATATGTGTCCACTATAGGCCATATGTACGAGTTACTATGGAGACACAGCCTCAGTTTATGTATGTGCTTTATGCTCTGTGTATGAGTTACTATGGAGACACAGCCTCAGTTTATGTATGCGCTTTATGCTCTGTGTATGAGTTACTATGAAGACACAGCCTCAGTATATGTACACACTATAGGCTTTGTGTATGAGTTACTATGAGGACATAGCCTCAGTATATGTATCCACTATATTGTCTACGTATGAGATGATCGGAAGTCTCGGCTCAGTTTGTGTTCTTTATTTGCTCTAAAAACATAGCCTCAGTATATGTCTCAACATGCTCTATATGTAAGTTGGTGTGGACATTGCTTCAGTGGATCTGTTCACTATATGCTTGATGTATTAGTGGAAACACAATATATGTGACTGATATATGACACATCCTCTATGAGTCCAATCTAATACAGGTTTTTTTTTTGTGTGGGTTATTAGTCACAACCTCAGTATATATGAGTGGTATATTATGTGCATGAAGTTCTGTTGAAAACAGCCTCAATTTATCTCACTCATATAATCTTAATATGTGTACAGGCATAGTGTCACTGTATATAGCAGAGGTACGCTATTACTATTTGAACAGACTCAGTATATGTAACTGATATATCTGTGTATAAGGTGCTGTTAGAAACATACACAATGTATGTGATTCACATAATCTGTATGCAGGTTGGTAGTATTAGATAACCCTAATTTATACACGGCATTGATATTTAATATATACAAATGATCTAAGGTCTGGGTTTTGCGCTGAAATGTAGCACTGCCTAATTTTAGCAAATACAAATGCACTGTTATACTGGGTAAGTAATTATTGCCTCCTGTGGATTTTCTATTTCAGTTTTTTTTTAAATGAAGTGGATAAGGAAACATACTGCTTTTGGCTTTGTATTAGATTCCTTCTCCCACAGGTGTTTCGGGATAAGCAATTAACACATTTTACCACTTCAGATGGATTGCAGGTGTTACTGAACCTGCCTGAGTGCCTCTCCCAGGAGAGAAGGAGACCTGAATTTCCAAAATGGAGCATGGTACTGTTTAACAAAATTAAGGCCTTTTTTTGTGTGCACTCCTATGTATTTATACATGAGACCATTTCTGAGAAGTTTTTCTATTGCCAAGTATCCTCTCCTCTCTTATCAAGATAAGGAATGTTTTGGTGGCAGTGTTTTATCTTCAGATATATGCTGTTACTGATGCACAGCTTAGAAGATCATGCTGGTTGCAGGAGCACAAATTGGGCTATTAATCGTTCTCATAAGTAGGTAACTCTGAAGCTATTACCTGATTTAAAAAGCTGTTCATATTGGCTTGTTTCTCTCCTGGTCATAACTTTAGTATCATTTTATTTTTCCGCAAACTTCTACTCTGAAGAATTCACTACTTCTGGTCTGGTTTGTGCTCTGGTTCTGGTTCTCTGGAATTGGTTTAACATATTCTTTAGAACTGCGTACCTTTCCTAAAAGTATAATCTTTATAATTTGGAGAATGTACTAATTTTTTATATGCAGTATTCTCTTTTATCCCTTGGGGACCTGAGAGTTTGGCAATCCCTTTAGGATATGTCAGGGGTAGCATGCTTTTTGTTCTTAAGGAATTAATGTTCAGAAATTTCTGACAAGATTCCCTTGTGGTGAAAGGGTATATTATAATTTCCTTTCTGCAATTAAATGTATTCTTTTATGCTCATATGATCCAGGTAAGTTTTTGATACTTAGTATTGCAAGTATTGTAATTGACACTGGAAGGTCTTTCTAGTCCTCAGGCCATTCTACCAGGTTTACTATTTCAAGTAAAATTCACCTGCTATCAGAACAATAGAGGAAATCCCTTAACAGGTAACTCCATTACGGTCCTCTCTTCTGATATTCATGGGGATTCTTCTAGTGGTCCTTATATCTGGAATTTGCAACCGAGGTGTGGCTTTAAGTGGTTGATTCATCCTACATAATATAATGTAATGCAGCTTGTTGATGACAAACATTTGACTGATATATTTTTCATGGTCTCTGTACCTAGATCGGTATAAGTTATGGTCACTCCTAACATTGCATTGATTTAATACTTATGGATTATATACTTGTATTGGTGTTGATATCTTGCAGATAATACAAACTGCTTATTATCGCCATAAGCTCTGCCATAGTACTTCGCTACCTGAAGATAAGGTAAGAATAATACAAACTGCTTATTATCGCCATAAGCTCTGCCATAGTACTAATTCGCTATCTGAAGATAAGGTAAGAGTAAGTATGCGGTTGTTTGTTCTCATAAGGATAACTGAATATCTTCTACTATCCTGATTATGTGTCGGTTGCCACAATGGATCATGTGCCTCTGGTTACCACCTTCTCATCAGTATCCTGCCGATTACATATCTCCTACTTATGTTACACAACGGTCTCTAATAAATTTGATTATACTGTTTGGCATAATCTGTACTATTTACAATGTTTCTTTGAATGTAGGTACTGACGTGATTGTCCTACTTATAATTTAGGAGTTTACACAAATTCCACGGTTCATACCGATGTCTCTTTTTTCTTTCTTTAACTAATCTGTATATGACTCTTCTTGCCCTTGCCTAGTAATGTCATTGGTTTATACCTCTCCTGTGCCTGATCATTGCTGTATCAATTCATCCACGGTGTGAGGTATTGTTGTGAGTCTGATTTTTGCAATATATATGTATATATATTCATTATTGCAGTGTTTTAATAACACTTATTTCTCTACTAGGCTCTGCCTCTTTCTGACAGGCAGGTATTGATTTATTTCCTGTATCCACAGGTAAGTAGTTCACAAGGCAAGAGGAAGCAGTGTGAATCGTCATTAATAATTACATCCAGAGAGTTGTGTAATTCTCGCCATGTTTAATAGCATGGTGTGTCTGTTCTCATCCAACCTTCTGTTATGCCTTTTTGTCAAGGTTCTGATCTGATAAGGTCATCAATTTGGTTTTAAAATTTTATATCAAAATGGCATTATCCTTCTCTGACTTATGCTATCATGGCCTTAATTCCTATCTGACTATATTTAGGATATTTCAGATATTGAATGCCAGGAGGTTGCTGGCCTTGCAGCCTCTAGGTTAATTAACTTGTCTGAGCAGAATGTATGACAACATCCTATTGATGTCTTGTTTGGCTTTTTTTTGAGTCTTCTAAGGTTTATGCAGCTCAATAATGGTTTTATAGCTATTGGCTGTTTTTGAACTCTGTCCCTCCCTCGATATATACTGCTTGGGTATTCCCCATGAGTAAATGCTGCCATGAATAATGTCAGGAAAAAAGGAAAATTTGCTTCATACTTACCGTAATTTTCTTTTTCTGATCATTATTCATGGCAGCATTACGTTCCCACCCATATACTATAAGATGTGAAGCTAGTTACTAAGACTGCCTGATGGGAAGGGGGAGGATCTATTTATACCAGTTTCAGAGTTCTATTTCCTGTCCTTTCTGCTGTGAGGGGAGGAGCTAACCCAGGAGTAAATGCTGCCATGAATAATGATCAGAAAAAGAAAATTACGGTAAGTATGAAGCAAATTTTCCTTTTTCTATAAGGAATGGATCCCCTGTCAATCCAGGGAATTCTCTTACTTACCCTTATTTTGAAGTGGATAATGATCTGTTGTACAGAGTTGAGAAAAAAGAGTCCGTTATTACAAAGCAGCTGTTAGTACCACAAGCCTATTGGCACACTGTGTTAAACCTTGCACATAGCCATGTTTTGGGGGGTCACCTAGGGGTTGACAAAACAAGAGAGCGTGTTTTGAGGAGATTTTACTGGCCTGGAGTAATTGCAGCTATCAAAAACTACTGTTCGTCATGCCCTGAATGTCTGGTCACTGCGCCCTTTACGGCTTACCGTAGCCCTTTAGTACCCTTGCCTATTATTGAAGTGCCTTTTGAACGTATTGCTATGGATTTTGTGGGTCCTCTGGTGAAATCCAGTAGGGGGCATCAGTATATATTAGTAGTACTAGACTATGCTACCCGTTACCCTGAGGCAATACCTATGCGCACAACCTCAGCAAAGTCCATTGCTAAAGAGTTAATGATGATGTTTAGCTGGGTTGGGATTCCCAAGGAGATCCTATCAGATCAGGGTACTCCATTCATGTCCAAGGTTACAAAGGAACTCTGCAAGCTCCTTCACATTAGACACCTCAAAACCTCTGTTTATCACCCACAAGCCGATGGTTTGGTTGAGCGATCTAATAAAACCTTAAAGGCTATGCTGCGCAAAGTAATTGATAAAGATGGGAAAAACTGGGACTTTCTATTGCCCTATTTAATGTTTGCCATTAGAGAAGTACCCCAAGCTTCCACGGGTTTCTCACCTTTTGAATTATTATATGGCAGACACCCCAGGGGATTACTTGACATAGCAAAGGAAACTTGGGAACAAGAAGCAAACCCACATCGCAGTATAATAGAACACATAACTCAGATGCAGGAACGTATTGAAGCCATTATGCCAATAGTCAGAGAACACATGCAAAAGGCGCAACAAAATCAGCAGAATAGCTATAATAAGGATGCTAGAATTCGAGTATTTCAACCAGGAGACAGAGTACTAGTCTTGGTTCCCACAGTAGAGAACAAATTCCTAGCAACTTGGCATGGGCCATATGAGATTATTGAAAGAGTGGGAGAGGTAAATTATAAAGTAAGGCAACCAGGTAGAAGAAAGGAAGTGCAAATATACCATGTCAATTTGCTAAAACCATGGAAAGAAAGGGAAATTCTGGTTACTACAGAGGCGTCAACCTTCCCTGATAAGTGTAATATTGACCCCGAAGTAAATATCTCAGAGACCCTGTCAATACACCAGACAAGGGAAGTTAAGGAGTTTATTAGATTAAATAAAGAGGTATTCTCCCCAGTCCCCGGAAGGACTAGCGTGATTAAACATGACATTTTAACAGAACCAGGAAAAAGGGTCAATCTCAAACCATACAGAATACCCGAGGCTCGTAGAAAAGCTATCAGAGCAGAGGTTAAGAAAATGTTAGATCTTGGAGTCATTGAGGAGTCACAAAGTGACTGGAGCAGTCCAATTGTGCTGGTACCAAAGCCTGATAATATAGTACGGTTTTGTAATGATTATCGCAAACTGAATGCTATTTCTAAGTTTGATGCATACCCCATGCCTAGAGTTGATGAGCTAGTAGAACGACTTGGGAGAGCTCGGTACCTCACTACACTAGATTTAACCAAAGGTTATTGGCAAGTACCACTCACAGAGCGAGCAAAAGAAAAGACAGCATTTTCTACTCCTGACGGCCTATTTCGGTACAGAGTTTTGCCTTTCGGCTTGCATGGTGCCCCTGCCACATTCCAAAGAATGATGGACAGAATACTAAAGCCGCATGTGCGCTATGCAGCTGCATACTTGGATGATGTTGTAGTACACAGTGAGGATTGGGAATCTCACCTTCCAAAAGTACAGGCTGTCCTTAACTCAATACAAAATGCTGGCTTAACTGCTAACCCTAGTAAGTGTACGATTGGCCTAGAGGAAGCAAAATATTTGGGCTACTCTATTGGTAGGGGACTAGTGAAACCCCAAGTTGCTAAAATTGAAGCCATACGAAATTGGCCGAGACCACTGACTAAGAAACAGGTGAAAACATTTCTTGGCCTCATTGGCTATTACAGGAGATTTATATCCAATTTTGCTACAATTGGAAGCCCATTAACTGACCTTACTAAAGCTAATGCTCCAGTAGTGGTAAAATGGTCCCCAGAGACGGAACAAGCATTAAACAAGCTTAAAGAAGCCATTTGTGCCCAACCAGTGTTGGTAACACCTGATTTTTCTAAAGAATTTATTTTACAGACGGATGCATCTGATGTAGGACTAGGTGCTGTTCTCTCTCAAGAAATTCAGGGTGAGGAGCACCCCATATTATATTTAAGCAGGAAGCTTAATCCCCGGGAAAGAAACTATTCCATTGTTGAGAAGGAGTGTCTGGCTATATAGTGGGCGGTAGACACACTTAAGTACTATCTCTTGGGACGAAAATTCAGACTAGTGACAGACCATGCACCCCTTACTTGGATGAGCCAAAACAGGGAGAAAAATAGTAGAGTAACCCGCTGGTTCCTTAGCTTGCAACCCTATAATTTCTCCATTGAGCATAGGGCCGGAGTAAACAGGGAAATGCAGATGGTCTTTCGCGGATGCACTCTCTAATGTCCATGGTCGCTCGACCCTATAGGTCTGAGCTGGGGGGGAGGATGTGTGACAGAAAGCAAGGAATTGTGCTGGAAGGAACCTATATACCTCCCCAGATTTTGCAAGGTTCTTACTTTGTGTAATTAGCCCCAGGGAAATGTGTTATGTTCTAATGAATGTTGCACTTTAAATATGTGTATATTTGGGCCCTGGGGTGGAGCACCTGGAGAGTAGAGTGGGCCAGTGCTCCACTCCACATTTTGGAAGTTGCTTGGTGAGAAGTCCAGTTCTGGAGTTTGAATCCTAATCTAACTCACCTGAAAAGGATTGTCAATTACCAGTGCTATTAAGTACTCCCCTGCCAAGGAAGAAGGAAGATTGTGTTTGGTTTCTGTGAGTGGAAACAGAGAGCTGAAAACCCTGAAGCAGTAAGGCTGTTTATGTTTATGTTTATGTTGGGAAATGGACAAGCCATCAGGGGAGGGCTGGCAGCCTTAGGCCTGGGGGGCAAAATCAGTCAAGTGGCCCACTGCACCACCAAATCAGTGCAATGGTGCCCACCTTTTCCTGGTTTTATAACGGATATTGATGTTATGCTAATCACTAGCTCTTTGCCATACCCGCTCCTTCACAGCTCTGACTTTCAATGTTGTCAAAGCGCAGGCTGAGAATCTCTGAGCGTGTGCTCTGACTCACTAACTGAGCGCCGGAACCACGAGGGAGAGGCTATAATCTGACTGCACCTACTGCTAGTGCGTACCAGTGGACCACCAGCGAATCGTTTAAATTGAATAGGCTGGTGTCCCCAACTTGTGAGCTGTGTTGTCCGCCGGGCGCCTCTGTTGTGATGGCACCCTGCGTGACCGCACAGCGTGCACACCCCAACAGCTGGCCCTGCTGACACACACTGATGTTACTACTTAGAAATCCCTCAATATTAACACAGACATCAGAGTAAACACCAATAAACTGTGGAAACAGAGCTGATCCCCTCAAATTTATAAAGATTTGCTTATTTGTTGTAAGATTAAATCATGCCTCCTCCTCTCTCTCTCTCCCATGCGCTGCTCTGTAAGCTGGGAGGAAGTGAAGAGTAATCACAATCTCCCAGCACAGTGGCACCTGTGGCTGCATGGGGAACAGCTGTATTTGCCGCCCCCATGTGACATCACAATGCCCCACCTATATGAGCTGCCATACTAACGCCAGTGCTGCCCACAGTGTGTGTTTACATTAAAAAGCCTGCAGGGACCGGCTATAGACACCAGAACCACTTCATTAAGCTCCAGTCGTTCTGGGAAATATAGTGTCCCTTTAATGTGAGGTACATTATAGATTAGTGTCACTAATAATATACTAGATTGCCTACTTACAACCAAATGAGGATGATGATGGGCTGCAGTTTGGCTCCACTGGTCTGGTGTAGAACAGGATCTCTGGAGACTGTTTGCAACTGTGGTCACAAAATTCAATGTTCTGGGAGAATTGGAAGCAGCTCCATTTTTGGGGGCCCCTTACACAGCTCAAGGTCTGGGCCCCAGGGCCTGACGGTGAGTATGCGCACAAGGCCCACTCATAAGTCCACTTATATGTTCCACCCACCCATGAGTTCGCTCACAGGGAGTGGAGTGTGTAGGGGATGTGTTATGTGTTATTGTAGAGGATCTAATATGTGTGCTTATGGTATGTAGTGTATAGGGATACCAGTTTGTGCAGGTGATACAGTGTGTTTGTGTGTAGTGGAAGCAGTGTGTATTTGTGTATAAGGGATGTATTGTGTGTTTCTGGTTGTGTGTAAGGGATGCATTGTGTGAATCTGTGTTTGTATGCATAAGGGATACAAGGTGTGTGTTTGTAAGTGTGTGCATTGAGTGTGTGTTAGTGATGCATTGTGTTTCTGTGTGTATGTAAGCAAAGCAGTGTGTGTGTAAGGGTTTGCACTGTGTGTTTCTGTGTATGTGTGCAAAGGATGCATTGTCTTTGTGTGTAAGGGTTGCATTGTGTGTGTGTAATGGAAGCATTGTGTGTTTCTCTGTGTGTAAGGGAAGCATGTTGT